TCGTGATAACACGTGAAAAAATGTATAATACTTGATACACACTTGCTTGTTATATTACTTTCGTTACCATTTTCGTACTACTTCAATTTTATAACACACTATCTATCGTGCGTGTGACATAAACATAAATGTTTATTTCCTTTCGTTTTATCGTTCCTTCTTCTTCTTCTTCTTCTTCTTTATATTTGATTTTATTTTTTTCTCTTCCCTTGTTGTTGTTTTTCCAGTTTTTTTTCATTCCACATTGAAATATTTCTTTACATTTGTCGCGTGTTTTTTTCATCCTCGTGTATACACGGTATAATAATCTATTTGAAGAAATGAATTATTAGATGGTTGGTGACGTTTTTTTTATAAATTCATAAATATATCTTAAATTCTCTACTGTATAAATATTTTTCTAAAAAAAAAAAAAAAAAAGAAAACAACTATCCAAACCACCTCCTAATGTAATCAATTCTATCATAGTTAGTCACACTAATTTCAATCGTCAAACATCACAAATGTAACTAACTTCNTTGTCGCGTGTTTTTTTCATCCTCGTGTATACACGGTATAATAATCTATTTGAAGAAATGAATTATTAGATGGTTGGTGACGTTTTTTTTATAAAAAAAAAAAAAAGATACTTCTCTAAATCTCGAAACGATAATTGTCTTCATTTTTATAAAAGAAAAAAACGAAACAACTATCCAAACCACCTCCTAATGTAATCAATTCTATCATAGTTAGTCACACTAATTTCAATCGTCAAACATCACAAATGTAACTAACTTCTCTAGTAAATTTACTATTCGATTACAATTTGATTTCTGGTCATGTTTCGAAGAGAGACAGATAGAAGAAGGATGGGAAGAAATGGTTTGCTGTTTGACATACGGTCAAAAAGTTGTTGAGTTTCTGTCACGGGGAATGGGATGGTGGGGAGTGTGGATGAAGGTTTGATATAAAATTTCATTTCCAGCGAGATCCATCGAATCCCCTCCTCCCTCCTCCCTCCCTCCCTTCTCGTCTATCGTTCGTATGAACGATATTTGCTGTTAACAGAGAAAAGGATAAAAAATGTTAGAAAAGATGGCACGTGTTACGAGCATCTCTCTCTCTCTTTCTCTCTCTCTCTCTCTCTCTCTCTCTCTCTTTTATGAATTCGACGATAACGCCACGTTACGGTTCGATAGAAAGCGTCGCGACGCCCGGCAGTCTGCCACCCGTTCTGTTCCGTCCTGTTTTGGTCCCACGCACACACATACACATATATATACACATTTATATTCTTACACGAAACACGCATTTTCATCCACGATAAGATCGTGCGTCTGCGTCTTCTTCTTCTTCTTCTTATTCTTATTCTACTTTGACTTTTTGGTTCTCTTATTAGATAGAGAATGTTAGTGTACACGTGTAGACACGTGTGTATTAGTATACGGCACCCATTGGCGCCGGATTTTAAGAATAACCTTTTAAGAGTCTTATTGATTTGTTTTTTTCTTATCCTTTTATAAAACTATGCTTGGTTGAATATCAAATTTAAACAATTTGTTTTTATAAACTTAGACAAAAATTTATATTGGTGTGGAACAAATTTGTTTCTTATTTTTTTAAACTATTTAGAATTTTGATTATTTTTCAGAATTCATAAATATTTTTTTTTTTTTTTTTTTTATTAAAAATAGGTGATTTTAATTTAAGGAATTTGAATGATTGTGTAAAATTTTATATATATATATATACCATTTTTAAATATTACAGATTATATATTATATATAATATAATTAAATATTATTAAATTAATAATATATTAAATGTATAATATTATTTATTATATTAATTACAGATATTATATATTATAGTTATTATTATTATTATTATTATTATTATTATTATTATTATTAAAATTATAGATATTATTATTTTTAATTTTATAAATTACAGATAATAATATTTATTATATTATATAATTAAATATTATTAAATTAATAATATATTAAATACTATATATATTAATATATTATAATTATATAATTAATTACAGATATTATATAATATTTATTATAATTATTATTACCTTAATTTAGATAGAAATTTAGAAAAATTAATTATTATTCCAATTTGATTAACTTTATAGATATATTTATACGAAATATTCTATATATCTATATATATATATATATATTCGTATAAGTTAAAGTATTTCTCATAAATAAAATTGATACGCTTATGGGGAAGAGATAAAGGAAAAGTGGATTAGACTTATACAAAGGGAAAGTGAGAAGTTTCTTAGGTATGCGTTGGCAAAAGTGATCTGAGTTGTCCTACGTGAGTTAGTTGATGACGCCATTAATTTGCTGGACGATTTGGTCCGATTAGTGACGGCAAAAGTTTCTCGAGACTAATTTGAAGGCAAGAGATAAAGATAAAGAGAGAGAGAGAGAGAGAGAGAGAGAAAGTGAAAAGGGATGCTTTTCATGAAGTAAATGCAAGACGATGAAAGCAGAAGGAAGGAACTTTCAGTGGCTTCCCTTTGAACGGTGACGTAATTTGCAAGAAGGCAGCCACTCCTCGCGAATCCTTTACGTCGCTTTTACAAATCGACACCCCCGCTCCCCCGCCCTTTTCTTCTTTCATCCCCCTTTCACCCCTTTTAAATGGCCCATCGCGAATGGCTTCTCCCCTTTTTTTTTTCAACAATTCAACGTTTTATGTCAATGTTACGATGTTTTATGTAATTTCACGATATTAAATATATTAATGTATGCTAATAATACAAAAAGATGATTATTTGTTTGTTCTTTTATTTATTTGTTTATCGAATTATTAAATCGAAATAAAATTTATTAATTTATTTATAAAATCAACTGGAATATTTGTTTTTATTACTTAATTGATCAAAACTTATATCAAAGTTACAATTTTCTTTTCATATTATAATACGTTTATCTCTTTCTCTCTTTTCTTAGATTTTTTTTTTTTTATAAATTCTATTTTGTTTGTCGAAATTTTTAACAAAAAAATTTAATAATTTATTTATAAAATCAACTAGAATATTTTTTGTCTTTTTTCCTATCACTTATATCAAAGTTACAATTTTCTTCTTATATTATAAAACCTTTTTCTCTCTCTCTCTCTCTCTTCTTATGTATTTCATTTTACTATTTAAAATATAATTAGTCGAAATATTTATACATGCAAAATAAATAAGAGTAACAATTTCTTAAAAATAAAAAAAAAAAATAAAAAGACCAGATGTGTAAAAGATTACACGGGATTTACGTGAAGATACACATTTGTTTCGTTTTTAAAGGGTTATATACAACTTGAAATTCTTTTCGTATGACAAAAAGTTGACTTCTCAGGTTTGAGACATTTACAGTCACCGAATAGGATTTATATATAATGTGCCATAACGTAATATATAATAGAAAGCATTTCAAGCGATAGGAATTACCTTTTATGGCCGTCAAGTCGTAATATTTCGAGTTATGAAAGCCAATGTGCAATTCTCCAATAATGTATGTATGTATGTATGTTATGCGCATAAGTACATACTCATATATATATATATATATATACATACATTCCTATATCTCATCGTCTTTATTGTATTATATAAAATGAAATAAGAAAAGAATATCTTGCAAAGGGGAAAAAGATTTTCCAATTGAAATGCGAGATTTCAAATTATTAACATTATTATTATTATTATTATTATGTAACATGGTCTGTTATTTCGTGTATTTTCGTTCGAAATGGGATTTTTCTTGTAGAAAAATAAAACGAAAGGAAAATAAAACAGGAAGACAAACATACAAACGTTCCAAAGCTTTTTTCTTTGTTTGTTTGTTTGTTTGTTTTTTTTTTTTTTCTTTTTTACGAGAAAACCATTGAACTATCGATCAATGAACTTTGACATTTTTATCCCACAAATAATATTTTTATATAATTAATATAATTTATTGACGATGTGATTAATTATTTGACTTCAAACTTATTAATCAATAATTTTGACGATGACAATTAAAAGAAGAAGAAGAAGAAGAAGTAGAAAAATATTTCGAAGTAATAAAAGTTCGTGTAGATTTGTTAGAGATCGTTAAGAATTTCTAAAGGGTGATAGTAAGTTCTTTTAAAACTCGCGTGTCCTCGACAAAGTTCACTACAAAGGGAAAGATTTATGCTAGTCGTATATATGACCCTTCTTCTTCTTCTTCTTCTTCTTCTTCTTCTTCTTCTTATCCCTTAAGACTATTGTTCTTCCGGTGGTGAACATTCCTTATCATATTATACTCAAAAGGACAAAATTTTTCTACTGAATTTTTATGTTTCTTTATCATAAATTCTTGTGTCACTTGACAAATATTTATTTGTTACAAAATAACATGCCTATGATTTTTATCTTTTATTTTATAGAACAAACATATTCCAATTTATTATTTACCTAAGATAAAAATATTTAAATTGTACAATAATTAATATATTTAAATTGTACAATTAAATATAGCTCACAAAAACAATTTTAATTTTAATTTTCCAATTTATTATTTACTTTAGAAATAATATATTTAAATTGTACAATAATTAATATACCTAATTTCCAATTTATTATCTTCGTTAGAAAAAATATTTAAATCGTACAATAATTAAAATATTAAAGTGTCAAATTAAATATAACCAAAAAAAAAAACAATTTAAATTTTAATTTTCCAATTTATATATTATTTACTTTAGAAAAAAAAATATTTAAATTGTACAATAATTAAAATATTAAATTGTCAAATTAAATATAACGCAAAAAAAAAACAATTTTAATTTCAATTTTCCAATTAATTATTTTCCTTAGAAAAATATTTCTAAATGTTACAATAATTAAATAATAAATCCTAAAATTAAATACCCCACTAACCAACAATTTCAATTTGAATTATTTCAATTATACCAAACGTTATTGCATAACAACAACAACAACAACAACAACAAAATTAATAATTAATTTATTTTTATAGTGTCCGGTACGTCGAACAAAAAAGAGGAAGAAGCGACGGTGTCCTCGGTGGGTGTCACGGAAGAAAATGGTGTCCTAGGAATGACAAGGCCCAAACCAGGAAACGATCCTGGTGGAGGTATAGACTTATTAGCAGCCCTGCAGCTGCACAATACTACGCTGCAGGGTGTCACGCAGGTACAGGGACTATTTAAACTGAGGGCAGCTTATTATCTTCAGGGTGAGTAACCATCAAAAAAACCCATCGCGTGTTATATCCATTATTAAAAGGACACCGATTAATCTCCACTCGTGCGTTAATCCTTCCTCCTTCATTCGTGCAGAAAAATTTCATGTTACTTTTTTTTCTTCTCTTTTTTTTTTTTTTTTTATCCTGAACAGTTGTCACAACCCTCATATATTTCGATAATACCACTCAAGATTTTTTCATATAGAAAATACTTCCCTCTTTTTTACAGTGAGTGTAAAAAGTATTCGTACATCGATCAATTTGAAATGAAATCTTGTGAAATTGTAATTTGATTGATAATTGTGATCAGTGTACGAATACTTTTTACACTCACTGTATATCGATCATCCCTAATAACACAAAATATTGAAAAATATTTAATACATGTTTATTTAATATATAACAATTATATAATAAATAATATTATAAGTAAGTAAGTAATAATATATATATATAAATTACGTGTCACGTTGTTTGTCCGCAATGGACTCCTAAATTACTGAACCGATTTTAATCAAATTTTGCACACTGTATGCAGTTTTATCCAATTTGAAAGATAGGATAATTTATATTTCAACTTATAATCGCAATATTATTTTATTGCCAATGATTTCTTTATTAACAATATAATATAAAATATAAAAATAATATTTTTCAATAATATAATATAATATAAAATTCAATGTCATTTTTAATATTAAATACACATGTATTCAATATTTTACAGTATTTTGTGCTACTAGGGATGTTATTACGAGATTCAATTTTGTTTTAGAAAATATTTCAAAACCACTTGGAAATGAATTATCTTATTTTCTCGATTCTATTGTTTTCCATTAATATCACTGAAAATAATCAACCATAGAGAAAAGAGGGTGTGATGATTTTGATTTATATTTACAGCAATAATAATATTTTTTCTCTCACACTTACATTCTTTATCTGTTCTTTTACACTTGTGTTAGGATATATAAATCTCTTAGAATATAATTTATCGAAGCACACCCTTCTGCTATTAAGTTCAGGGATGTGTCAGTACAGCGTAACGAATTTTAAGTAGAAATAATACCATTCTATCTTACTTACTCTCTTTTGAGAATAAGGGAGAAGGTAGAAAAGATAGAAGGGTTCCAAATACCAGCTTAATTTGCATACCGCAAAAGCCATTCCTCGGGTTAACTGGGATCTTTCCCCATTTATATTTTATCTCATAGTAATTAATATCTACAAAAGTATACGATAGGATGATTACTTTTCCTAAATTACAACCACCCCCTTTTCTTCTACATATTTTTCATTGGACATATTTATTACGTTCAAATTGATTCAAATATATATTTCATTTCTTGTTTAAATAGACAAAATCTGGTTTAATTATTTCTTTTTTTTTTTTTTTTTAATGATTTTATCGATCATATTCATTTCAACATACATACCTGTACACATATATATATACACACACGTGCAAATATAAATTAACCCTTTGAGCGCGGAATACTTTTAACTGAAATATTTTGTAGCAATGAAATAATTTATTGTTAATTAATTAGATTTATATTTTATTATATTAAATTAATATTATTTATATTTAAATTTATAAGAGAAAATTTGTGTATATTAAAATTAATAATAGGTAATATATTAAATTATATTATATAATATAATATTATAGTATTTAATTAATAATATAATATATTATATAATATTTGTATTATAATATAGTAGTTTAAATTTAATATAGTATTTAATATAATAATACAATATATTATAATATATATTTATAATAAATATAAATATAATTAACAAATTAATAATTAATATAAGAGTATTAAAAATATAATTAATTTACAATTATATTTTTATAATTAAATTACAAAATTTAAATATAAAATTTATTATTAATTAAATTCTAATAATAAATTATATTTATAAATTAAAATTTTTATTTCTACATTATATATATTTTACGTTATATAATATTAACAAACACGTATATGCAATGATAGACCACTCATGTAATTTTTACCAAACGCATATATGCGTCTAGAGCACTCTAATGGTTAATTTATAGCAAATTGAGAAAGTAATTCAAATGAATATGAATTTCTATTAAAGTTGAGTTGAATGTTTATCAAACAAAGTAACTTTGGGTTAAATGCTTTTCCCTTTTTTTCTTCTTTTCTTCCTTTTTGTTTCATGAACATTCAGCACTAGGTATAATAATGATCACGTAAACCTTTTCTAACTTTTCTCGTTAAATCGATATTGAGAAAGGTCAGTTTATAAAGAACTTTTTGACGTCTCGTTGCTTGGAGGCCATCAGACTGATAACTATGAGTAACAAAAGTGCATATATGCATGTGTGTGTAGTGTATGTGTTTATATAATATTGTAAATCATAGGGAGTATGTAAATCAAAAGGGTTATTAACCTTTCAAGCTAACTTATAAACATATAAAACACAATATTGATTTTTCACATGCACAGTTTTCAGAATAATTTGCAATTGAATTAAATTTTATTGGGTGTACGAGCCTCCTTTTTCTTTTTTTTTTCTTTTCATATTCATCTCGTTCATCTTTTTCTTCTTTTCATATTCATCTTTTTCATCTTTTTTTAATTCTTATTTTTATTGGAAAAAGTAGTAGAAACCAACAATACCGACATTTCAAAAGGTTCAGTGCAACGTCCTCGAAAAATCAAAGAGTAGAATCCTAGAACTCATTTTAAGGTATGATGTATCGTATTTGTATGGAGAAAAAAAAAGAGGGTCTAAAGAAATTTCTATATTACGTTTTCGGGATCAAACCTTATTATTATCCCTTTTTCAACAAAAATTTATCCTATCATCCCCCAAACCAACAAAAATTGATTACTTTTTCAATACCTTTTTCACTTTCGTACAACATTTGTCTCACAAGTAAATAAATAAATAAATAAATGAATTAAGTGTTTCATTCATCAACAGTTAAAGTAAACCAAACAAAATTTCCTTTGATAATCTTTTTTTATAACTTTCATTTTGTTCTTTCTTTCTTTCTTTCTTTCTTTAAAAGCAAGCACGTACTTCTAACTTTGTGAATAATTAATGGTTAGACTTTTGTTTGTACAAAATTTACATTTTACTTTGAACAAATGCTCATTTTCTTTTTCTTTACTTATCCCAAGTACCATCATGGTACTACCAGTCTTTTACTAAATAAATAAATGAAAAGTGAGAAAATATGATAAAGAAATAGAAACCAAGTTGAAATTTCGTTTACAGAGTAGAAAACTTAATGGATGGCATATCAGAACAATTCGATTAACTTGACGTTAGGGGTCACGAACAAAAAGAAAAAAAGAAAGAGAGAGAGAGAGAGAGAACTGTCCGTCTCTCACTTTCCAAATAAAATTTCGTTAGGGGTATTTAATGGGAGAAAATGGATGAGAAAAATGGAAAGAGAAAGAGGAGAACACAATTTTACTCGTCTGGGGGCCCACACATCTCGTCCTGTGTCAATTTGCTGGAGCTTAACACCAAAATCCCGTTTTTCTCGTGGAAATAAAAGGGATGAAGGTTTTTGGTATACGAAGGGGGGAGCAGAGTGAAGGGAAGATTGCTTTTCACTAGTAGTGTACAAGAAGAAAGAGAAGGACAGATATAAACGAAAATTCTTCCCTTTTTCCTTTTTTTCTTCAAAGGGACAGAGACACGTGTCAAAGTTTTCCCAACGTAAAAAGCGGGGGGTGAGGTGGGGGGAGGGTTGGGGTGGAGAATAAGATTTTCACTGACTGAGAATTAGAGAAAGAAAATAGAAAAGGAGAGAGAGATAGAGGATTGGGATTGTAAGGGTGGAAAAAGTAAAAGTAGAATAATAAGGTGTGCGTATTATTATCTGTTGGTTTTGAGGGTTCCCCCAAAAGCTGGGAGAGCATCAATTCGTGAGGTAGCAGCAGCCCTTTTGTATTATTACATAGAAACGGGGAAAAATGGGTTTTCTGATCTCGTTTGATCGTCCATGAGACAGACAACTGTTGTTGTTTTCCTTTGATACTTTTCTCTCTTTTTCTATCTTTTTTTTTTTTTCTTTATTTTCTTCTATAAGATCGATATCCTAGGTATTCTTTTTCTCGAACAATAGCCTTCTTACCATCGATGGTGTGTTTACAATTGAAAAATATCTGAAGAAAAGTAAAGGAGCCTGTTCAAACTTTCTCCCCTGTTCCAGAGTTTGTTGCAACTAAAAAGATTTCTTTTACGATATGAAAGAAAAGATAAGATTTATTTGTGGTTATTTATTCGATAGGTTATGTTAATTGTGAAAAAAAAAGTAATTAAGTTATTAAGTTAATAAGTTATTATTACAATTTAATAGTAGCACTTTTTTTTTGTAATTAATTATACAAATTGTCTTTACACTTCATTAATTGAGTATTATATTAATTATATTAATAAATAGTAATATAGTAATATAATTATATTATAGTAAATATAATAATATTATTTAGTAATATTTTAATTTTATAATTATTTATAGTAATATAATAATATTATAGTAAAAATATACTTATTGTATTATTTATTATATTATTATATTTAATTAATTATAATAATATTAATTATATAATAATTATTAAATTATATTTAATAATTACTACATTATTATATTTATCATATTATATTATTATTATGCGTATTATTGTTAATATATATATATATTATAGTAAAAAAGTATTATAGTAATTATATTAATTAATTAATTAATTAATTAATTAATTAATTAATTAAGTGTAAAGAAAAACAAGCATAATAATAAGAAGAAGAAGAAGAAATTTGAATACTTGATGAATGAAATTGAGAAAGGAAACGCAGCATGAGTGCCAATTCAAGCGTAACGATTATGTTTCGAGACCGAGTATGAGAGAATAGAAAGAAAAAGTGAGGAAAAAAAAAGAATTAGGGATATATATATACCCTTTTTTTTTTTTTTACACCACCCTTCTTTTTCATTCTCTTAATTCTCTAACACCCTATATAACATGGCAGTATTTCGTATTAAATTATAATTAAGTGTGGAGAGTAAGGTAATTACTTGATCTGGTTCGTGCCTGACCAGGCATGTTCTGTTCCGTTCTTTCCTTCGTTCCTTCCTTCCTTCGTTATAGTCCCTTTAAGGGTTGTAAAGAGTATGGAAGTAAACAAGGCCCTTCGTAAGGAATCGACGCTTTATTACCGAGCAAGGTGTAATGTTACTTTATGCGTACCGTCGGTGCATCTGAAACACGAGCACGTTAGCTTTTCGATACGAGAGAAGCCTGTGTTGGCTTGTCCACCTTTCTTTTTCCCTATCCTCCATCTTTTTTATTTTTTTTTTTTTATTATTATTATTATTTCTACTTATAAGTAACTATGTGTGTAAAATATTAGAATCAGTTTGAATATAAATTATTATAAAGGTTCATCATTACTTTAACAAATCTAACAAGTATTTATATAAAGAATGTTGCATAAATTTATATTTCAAACAAAATATTAATATCCCTAACCCTTGAAAAAATACCTTATTAAAGATACACACACACACGCACACACAAATTAATTTTTATTAAATTAATCAAAAATATATTATTTTCTATAAGATACATCTTCAAATAACGAAGATACTAATTTAACACCCTACGAACAAGTGTTTATATACAATTTTGTCACAGACTGTATTTACATGTCTTTGCGTAGGTGGATATACACGTGTCTACCCTTTCCTTCTCTCTCTTTCTTTTTTACTTATTATTTTTGTTCTCTTTCTTTTTTCTTTTTTCTTTTTCTGTCGTCTACCACATGCGTTTGTCATAGTTCCCGATCGCGTTTGCACGGAACACGCGTTAGACGCGTGGCTTTTAATGACCCTATGAGAAAAAAAGGTAACCGACCGGACGAAGGTAATCGAGACATCGAACGTGTAAAAGGAGCTCTTCTCTCGTCGTACCACTTTAATGGCCGATGAAGTATGCAACCAAGAGAAATAGATGAAATTTATTAGCCTATTCGCGAAAAAAAAGGGGAGATCATTCTATTTCTTATTCTCAAATGAACAAACGTGAAAACAAAATCTTTCATCAAAATTACAATCATTAATTATACCATTTTACATAATATATATATATATATATGTCATTTCTCGTTAATCATCGATTCGATCGAACATAATCAATTGGAAAAACTAGGTTATCCATATAGGAAAAAGGAAATAGAAAATAAAACTACTCACACGAATAAATTCAACTCAATCGTCAATCGTTAAAAAAAAAAAAAAAAAAACACTTGTAAATCGTGTCACGATTTTTTTTTCATTTTTTTTTCTTTTTATTCCAACTTCCCCACCTTTCCATAAGCTTTTTTTTTAAAATGTTGGTACGATTTAACTTTACGTTGAAATACCCCAAGTGGAGTTGGAAAACGAGCGTCGACGTTATCACCAAGTTCAATCGACTTTTATCATTCTCCTTTTTGCGATTAATGATAATAGCAAAACGTTGTACACAGTACGTTTTCATTATTGCTGAAAATGATAAAGATAAAGTGAGAGAAAGAGATGAATATAGTTTGTGATAAATAGAATAACACGATAAAGGTATTATCATCTTTCAGGTTCGCAAAAATGTAGTTGTACTAACCCAAAATTGGGATTGAATTTAGCCCCGTTGGTAAAATACGAGATTACGTAACTCTCAGCACGAATCTCGTGTTCCTAGGTCGAATAATCTCCATCGAGCTAACAACAATTTTTGCCATGGCCTACATCACAGTACACAAAGATAGTCAGAAATGGGAGGAGGAGGAGGAGGAGGAGGGAAGGGATGGGGGAAGAGAGTTGTAATTTATTTGTTATCTTCTTCTTTAACCTTTTTCTCATTCATCGTTAGTTAGCAAAACTTTCCATTTGAGATAACCAACGGTCAGCAATTTTGTTCAAACTTTTCGACATTCGGTCGTGTACGATACTTTTGTTTGTTTGTTTTTTTTTTTTTTCTTAATGGAAAAAGTTTTTGACAATGTTAAATTTGTCTCGTCTAATTTGAAAGGTTAACGATTATAGCAAGATGATTAAATAAAATAATCATTTGTCTAGTATCTCGTATGGAATATTACAAATCGTTGTATCGCGTGTTTGTAGAGAAATATTTCTTAGTCTATTTTTTTTCTTTTTTTTTTTTTAATCTTCATTGAGTAGAATAGAAACACGATACGAATGAAACGAGCTTTTTTTCTTTATATAAATAAAAAACATTTGTTGGGGAAATAATGTTTAGTAAGGAAGGAAAGAGAGAGAGAGAGAGAGAGAGAGAGAGATAGAAATCAATTTGATTAGTAGGTAATGGCTGAGAAATAATCATGCATTACTACTTTCAGGCAATGAGAGAGAGCTCCGACTCAGCGAGGAAAGTTTCAAACGAGTGGCTGCACTACTCCGGCGGGCTCCGGAATTTACTATAGCTACTGCTTTACGCCAAGAGGAGGCCAATTCCGGGACGATTGTCTCCTTTTCACACGGGAACAATAGGTATTATAGAAACTTTATGATTAAATCCTACATTTTCTTTAATATCAATTTCATAGAACATTATTGAAGATAAATTATATATTATCAAAGTCTAATTAATTTTCCAATGGTTCATTGTTATTATCAAACAAAGCATTTACAATTCTAAAGATGAAGAAAATAATTATAATAATAATAATAATAATAATAATAAGGAAAAAGATAAGTTAGAAAATAATTTACTGTGTCAATTGTTGATCCGTGCCACTTGGAAAAACACTTAACCCCAAAGTAGTTGTAGTCAGGTAGTGTTGGCATATACAATATGATAAGGTAGTAGTAGTAGTAGTGTCTAGTCGTTTTGACCTGGTCTGACATAAATTGGACACGTAGGTGTCACACGTGTAGACATCACGTGGCAATTAAAACTATCCACTTGCGGATCTAGGCAAGCAAGCAACCATCTCGGACCACTTGACCACCAACCAAAACGTAACTGTTGATTCGATACCAATTTGAGTAATAAATTGTGACATAATAAATCATAACGTTTGTTGTTGTTGTTATTGTTTTTTTTTTTAAACATTTCGTTTTACATTTGTATACCTGATAAGTTTTGAAGAATTGTTTGGTTGGTTTATTTGACAGATATTTGGAGCTGCAGAGCAGCGGACGCAAAGATGAACTTCGATTACATTATGTATCACGCTTAGACGGTAAAGTCCACGTCGAGGCATTTCCATTTCGTCTGGCTGATGGAGCCTGGCATAAGGTTGCCATGAGTATAAGTGGCTCGCAGGTCGAGCTACTAGTCGATTGTCACTCAATCTACAGGCGACTCATCATAACAGGCCCACCTGACACGAATTTCACTCAACCACAGTTACAACTCTGGGTTGGACAACGAAATGCTAGGCATTTTCTATTCAAGGTAAGTCATGTGTAGGATTTGTTTCGTTCACTTTTATTATCAAAATTACGACATGTAATGAAAATTTGAAAGATTTTTATTTGTCATCATTCGACTGAGAGAGCTATTCTGTGCGATTTTCGCGGCACAGGGTGCTTTGCAGGACGTCATGCTGATAGCAGGACCCCATGGATATCTCTCGCAATGTCCTAGACTCGACTCGACCTGTCCTACCTGCGGACAATTTTCTTTACTGCAGAATACCGTCGAGAGGCTGATGATCGATTTCAGAAATTTGCAAGAAAGGGTTGGTAGTAAAATCATATTTCTTTTCTTTTTAATCTGATCCTGTCCCTTTTCTTTTCTTTTTTTTTTTTGTTGTGACATTTTTAATAAACGAAAAACTCATCGACGTCCTTCCTTTCAGCTAGCCGTTGCAGAGAACAGAATAAGCAAGGTCGAAGAGTGCGAGTGCCAAAAATCGTGCAGAATCAATGGTACGGTTCACAAGGACGGTGCAATCTGGGAAAAAGGTTGCCAACAATGTTCTTGCGTTCATGGTGAAGTCGAGTGTAGACCGACACCCTGTGCTCCCGTCCCCTGTAAATATCCAGTCATTCTACCGGGACAGTGCTGCTCGATTTGTTTGAGTAAGTTTCGTTCATCCAATAAGAATTGTATTTATCTATAGTCAATTAATTTGTATTCCATTTTTTTTTTAAATAGAACAATGTTACCTGCGCGGTATTATCTACGATCACGGGGAAAAGGTATCACCGAGGCAATGCGTCGAATGCGATTGCTACGACGGTATTTTTACCTGTCAAAGATTCGACACTGAAACCAAGTGTCCACCACTGCCTTGTCCACCCAGTGAACAAATCAGCGTAGCCGAGGAATGTTGCAAATTCTGCCCAGGTAGAAATCAGTCATTAATATCAATATATGTTTAATTACAAAATGATTCTTTTTACAGTTTACTATTGCAGATCAAAAAAACAAAACAATTATGCGTATTCTGTGATCCAAATTGATCGAAAAAAAATATATATATATATATATATATATATCGGGACCAATCGAAAAGCATTTAAAAAGCATTAACAAACTCTTTCCAGAGCCCTTTACCCGCACGTCAATCATTCATTTAAAAACAAGCCCTAATTAAATCTCTAACCATTTCTCTTCATCTGCCTTGACTAATCCAATTATAATCAGGGGTGGACTACTGCGCGAAGGGCCACAAGTGTCACGCTAACGCGTCCTGCCTGAATCTCCAGACGACCTACGCCTGCCACTGCGATATCGGTTTCCAAGGGGATGGTCATAACTGTCACGGTACCTAACGCTTCTCTCTAACTTACTCACATGTCAAATCGTGCGGAAACGATGCATCGATATATACATATATATATACATTTTAATATATATGTGTATATTATAAATATATTACATTAACCCCATTTCTATTATAACGTTCTAACGATTTACTAATGTTCGACAATCTTGCAAATAACAAGAAACACACTCATACACATATACATTTTGCATGAGAAATCTATTCGACGAATAATAACTCACCACCAATCTTTTCCTAATACTGTTGAAATATCATCAAAATACTAATATCTATAATATACTTACCAACACGAAAGTCACGAAAGGCGTGGGTGTTAGACGGAAATCGAAGAGGGGTTAATGCCTTGGGCAAGAGAAAAAAAAAAAAAAAAAAAAAAAAAAGAACAAAATTGCACCCGCACAAACACAGATCGATGAATCATCGTCTAGACTCTCGCATGAATGCGAGATAAAGACCTTGAATATTATATCGAGACTGAGGTAAAATTAGAATGAAGTTAGGTATACGTTAGTTGTACCTTCATTTAACCCTTTAATTAGACGTGGACGAGTGTAAGCAGCAAGGTGGATCGGAAGGTCATCATTGCAACGCCAATACCAGATGCGTCAACGTGATCGGCTCTTATACGTGCGAATGTCTTCCCGGTTATCACAGAGTTGACAAGTTCAATTGCGCCGAATTGGACGAGTGCGTTACAGGACATCACACCTGTGATGAACATGCTACCTGCGTCAACACTGCCGGCAGTTACTACTGCGTTTGTGAGGATGGTTATTCCGGTGATGGACACACGTGTAAACGTAAAGTATCTTCTTCTTCCTCTTCTTCTTCTTCTGTTGAATACAACAAAATTGGATTACTTATTCCCTATACTTTTGTAGCTATTTGCAATCAAACTTGCCAAAATGGTGGAGAATGCGTTGCACCTGGTCGTTGTTCATGCCGTAAAGGATACATAGGTAACAGCTGCGAACTCGATTTGGACGAATGTGCCAGCGATCTTCACAGATGTCACGAATCGTCTAGCTGTTTCAATATGCCCGGTTGGTATTATTGTCGCTGTAAACCTGGATACAGAAGTGCTCTGCATTACAGCACACAGGGCACACAGTGTCTCGACATAGATGAATGCAACGACGAAACTCTCGAGAGGAGTCACACGTGTCATCCAACCGCAAAATGTATCAACACCGAGGGTGGATATTCGTGTGCCTGTCCAAAGGATGACAACGATCCCGACAAAGAATGTAGACTTAGTAAGTCTCTTATTATTTGTAATAATTCGCATAAACTATGAAATTTATTTAACAAAAAATTATGAATTTCCTATTTTAGGTTGTATGTTTGAGAATAGAGAAGTGAAAAACGGTGATACTCTTGCACCAGCAGGCAATCCTTGCAGACGTTGCACTTGCAACAACGGGGTGATTACTTGCAGAGATCCAACTTGCGATTGTAGCGTACCTGGTAGTCACAAAGACAAATGTTGTCCTCAATGCGATCCTGCGGCATCCTGTATACATCAGGAACTACATCATTTGATCTTTAGGAGTGGGGAACGTTGGATATACCAATGCCAGACTTGCGAGTGCCTGGTAATGCAAAACTAACCCAAGGAAATCAAATTAACATAAATAATATTTTGAAGATTACAACGACCCTTGTTAACTGTAATATCTAACGAGATATTATTATAATCTTTTGAAATTTATTTCAGTACGGTGAGATCGATTGTTGGGAAATGGAGTGTCCACCGGTTACCTGTTCGAATCCGGTTACCGAAGATGGCGACTGTTGTCCTCGTTGCGAGGACGATCCTTGCGCTCGCGAAGTCGCATTGAATGGTACATCCTTGTTGAGTCCTAATCATCCAAGGCCGTGCAGCTATGCAGGCATTCTCCACGACAGTGGCAGCTCTTGGCAGGATCCCCATGACAAATGCACCACGTGCGAGTGCAAGGTAAGGAAGAGGAGGAGGAGGAGGAACAGGATCTCAGCCACAATCAACTCTGAGGAACGAAATATCCGATCGTCGGTCCTTTTCCCATGCGAGAATTGAACAATCAAAGGCTAGGATTTTAGGGGCGGGGGCGGGAGGGTCGTTAAATTTAATAATAATATTGAGAGAGGAGAATATTTTCATTCGAGAACTCTCTCTCTCTCTTTCCCTTTCTCTCTCTTCGCGAAATCTTTCATCGAATATAAATATCAATGAGCGTTCTCAATTTACATACAATTGAATTCAATCGTCGTACCACTCGGTGAACTATCTTTCATCTTTATCTATCTCTTTTCATTCTATTTTTCTCTTTCTTTCTCTCATCATCATCATCTCTTTACTCAATCCTTCTCCTCTCTCTCTCTCTCTCTCTCTCTCTCTTTTTCTCACTCTCTCTTTCTTCTATCTATCTGTCTTTCTATCTATCTCTGTCTCTTTCGAATTCAAGAGCGTCAAGGTCAGTAAATGAAATTACAAAAAAAATGTCACATTCGCTTTGATCGATTTAACCGTGGGTTCTTTCATCTGCCTACTTAAGTTACGCTCGCTGCAATGTTTAAAAAAAAAAACAAAAAAAAAAAAACACCAACATATACGCATACACCCCTGCATATACTCTACGTGTATATGTGAGTGGTGTATGACGAGTTGCTGTGCGCCAGGCCATTCATCTCGCATAACACAACTTAGATTTACACACAATTTACATGTATATTTACGTGGCGGATATCATTTATGCAGCTTCTTTTTTATTTCAACAAATTCATGTAAAAATGACAAATTTGTTTTTTTTTTTTTTCTTACTTATCGTTAGATGAGACTGTGCTTTCAGTGTGCTAAAAACAAAACAAAAAACATATTTGATTATTTGCAGCAGCTTCGTATTTCGATATTACGCATACAGAGAGAGAGTAATATAATTTTCATCAACTACGGATTTTTATGCAATTAAATGCATAAATGCATTCACATATGTGTTAGTAATATGTAAACGATACACCAATCCTATGCTAAATGCGTGCAATCTTTTAAAGATATGTAACAATTTGCATTACGATGAAATCAAATATATATTGTTTATGAATTTATTCTAAACGAAATTGATATTAATTTTATTTCTTTTTTTTTTTTTTTTAATCATAAATTTGTTAATTATAAATTGTCAAATTAAATATATGCATAAAATTATTATAAATTCTAATTCATTCGTGCAAAATATGCAATTGTATAAAAATCCACAGTACACATTGATAATAATTAATTATTATCTAATTATAAAAAATGAATTTAATCAAAATTTCATTTCCGCCACGTGTACATATATATATATATATATTCTCTCACTCACACACACACACACACACACACACACACATACAAACACACACCTCATCGTTTTCTCATTGTTTCTCTCTCTTTCTATATCTTTCTATCTCGCTCTTTTTCTCTCTCTTTCTATCACAGATTCTTTTTAACCAAAATTTTTCTTAAATCAATCAATTAATTAATTAATTAATTATCGTCAGTAGTATAATGCAAGATTCGTACTGACTAATCTTCTTGTCTCTCTCTCTCTCTCTCTCTCTATCTATCTATCTCTATCTCTATCTTTCTCTCTCTCTCTCTCTCTTTCTCTTTCTCTTTTTATCTCTCTATCTTGTTTTTAATCTTACGATATATTAGCCTTCGTTATGCCATTTACTAATTTTTTTACTTCATTGGTTTTTTTTTTCTATTTTTTTTTTTTTTTCTATTTCCTTTTGCGATGTTTATAACGCGCGACTCGAGATTTTTTTGCAGAGCCTATAACGCTGACATAATCTTAATTATTTTATCTTTTTTTGTTTTTTTTTTTGTTTTTATCTAACGCCGAGAGAAGAGACAAATCTAAGAATAGTTTTTTTTTTTTTTTTTTTTTTTTTTAATATAATAAATAAGTCTAGTAAATAAAATGAATAAATAAATTGTAAAATGTAAAATGAAAAATGTAAAATTAAATGAAATCTCTTCTCGCTGCGTGTGGGGCCCACCGTTTTTTTCATCGCGCTATAATAATAATATATTTGTTATGTRATAATATTCTCGGCTGCATTAATATTATTATTATTTATATTCTTATTATTATTTATTCGCTACAAATGATTATTTGCCATAATTGAAAAATCGCCAAAAGAAACCAAAAAAAAAAAACTGAAAAATTGGACGCCTAATTTGTTTATCTATGTATCTATTTGTTTCTATTTTTTTTTTTTTATTGTCTCGTTCGATACATTTTTACATTGTCGCGTTTCACACGTGGCACAGTGTTTGTTCGTCCATTCGTTCGTTCGTTCGTTTGATTTGAAAAATAAATAAATAATATTTAACGAACAAACACAATTAATATCTCGATCGAGTTATATGCTAATAAAAAGTTGATCCTAATTTAAACAATAATATAATCTTGAAGACAAGTTCGCTCGCTTTTTATTTTATGTTTTTTTTTGTCTTTTTTTTTTTTTTTTAATTCGAAGCTTTTTTTTTTATCTCCAAAGTGTGCGTTGTGGTCTTGTACGATACGACGATGATGATTGACAAATGTTTGCATTTTTTGAACAAACAAAAAAATACAAATTTCATAATTCAATTGATAAGTGAACAAATGTATTTTGAAAAAAAGAAAAAAAATGAAATTCAATCTTTCGTACTCGTCCTACATACGCACGAAGAATTTAGCCGAGGATCTCACGATCGCGCGTGTGCTTTTCGGGGTCGGCCCTGCATGGATCATCTTAGCGAATCTTTTTTCTTCCTGCCTGATTATTAATCGTAACAAAAAAAAAGGACCCGACCCTATCTTTTTTTTTCTTTTTTTTTTTTTTTCTAGCGATCGACCGTTTCAAGCATGACAAGCTTGTAAAAACTTATCTCGATGGTACTCCATTAATAATTCGTATCGATCTGTAAGGAGTAAATGCAAACCAATGCAAAACAATGCAAACGAATATTTTTGTTTATATTGATACACAATATTGAATTATAATTAATAATTAAAATAATTATAATTATGATATAAACGATCGATAGGAAGAAATGAGATGCGAGTACCTTCGACGATGAGTGAAGATTGGTGAATAAAAATAAAAAAAAAAAAAAAAATACAATTAAATGATCATACTAATAATGAATGAGAAATGTGAATATAATGATGGAAAAAAATGAATAGAAATTTTGTGTATTTTATGCCCGTTATTAACACATTATCATTGCTGTAAAATGAATTAATCCTTAAGAAAAAAAAAAAACCTTCTTTTGCCCGTGATGACTAATCTGATAGCCTAACGATGGGTATCCTTGCAGGTGCCGTACTGCGCCCAATTGGTGAGCAATAGCGCGTGTTGTGTGCATCGGTAATCACGTCACTTCTACCTCACCTATAATCTACCTGCCTCTCTATATCTTCTGTCTCTTTTCTATCTATAAACCTTTACATATATTTATATATTTATATATATATATAATACTCTTTGTTGATTTGTTTTTTTTTTTATTTCAAACTCTATTAGTTGTTAACTATTTTATCTACTTACCACGACAAAACGAGCTCGAGTGCTTAATTAGTTTATATTAACAATTATTGCCTGCTTTGTTATTAAAAATCGAATTATTTATCATCGATTCGATCGCTCGACTTTTTTTTCTATTTTTTTTTTCTTTTCTTTTCTTTTCTTTACTTGCTCGTTTAGTTTTGTTAATTTCTTATTTTGTTGTTGTTGTTATTGTTGTTGTGTTGCATTTTGATTTTTATTCTTCTGTCCTATTAAAAGTATCACATTTGTTTTGATCTTTCCAACATTACCCTATTCCCTATCTGTCTGTCTCTCTCTCTCTCTCTTCTTCTACTTTGTTCTTCTTCTTCTACTTCTACTTCTTTCTACTTCTTTCTACTTCTATCTAAGCCTGCCTATTCTCCCCTAAAAGTCTCAACAAAAATTCGTACTAATTATCTTTTAGAGGACTCTCGTCGATCGCAGCACGCTGATCACACAAAGCTTTCTTGTCTCGAGAGAGAGACTCGCGAGCACGCAGCATGATCGTTCGTCGCGTTTCCACGAGAGTGTTCTCGACCGTGACGTCATCTAACACCTACCCCTTTTTCTACTTTTTTTTTTAATAATTTTTTTTTACTTTAAAAAACCTTATCAACCCCTACATCCACCCACCCATCCCGAAAATTCTACTCGCGATTAGTTGCTGTGTTGCAATTATTAATAGATTTATTTATACGTTTCTTTTTTCTTTTTTTTTTTTTTTTTGATCTATCTCGTGTGAGATTAACACCATTAATTTAATTATTAATTAATTAATTTCTTTTTTTGTTTTGTTTAATTTAATTTTACCTATAATTTTTCAATTAGATCAGTTCGATTAATCGAAATGAACAATGAGAATGAACGATCGGTCGAGAACGAGAGGATGAGACCCTGTCTCTCGTGCAATGGTTACAACTCTCTTTGCACGTTTTTCTAATATTTTTTTTTTTTTTTCAAAATTTGCATGTGTCTCGTCTACCTACGTACCTAATCGTACAATTACTATTTTCTATTCCTACTAAAAAAAAACAAAAAACATCCTTTTTTCAAACTTCCCAACCCCTTTAACCCCTGTCGAACCTTCGCACACTTCGACACATATTATTATTGTCTTATTGGTGGTAACAAGCGAATGATGGGTTTCTAAACGGGGGTTCTCCGTTCACGTTTTTTTCTCTTATCCACCCCCTCCCCCCCACACCTCCACCCCTCTGTCAATATCTTTTTTGTATCTCGTTTATGGTCGTTTTGCAGCGCACGAAGGAGACGATTACACAAATATACTTTTGTCAACACGTATTTTTACTTAACACACAAACACTAAGCACACACGGACTGCATCTTGAATAAGTTATTTTTTTTTTTTATTTCTTTTATCTTTTTTTTTTCTTTTTTTTTTTTTTTTCGTATTCTAATCTTTCTTACTTTCTTCTTCAATTTTTCTTTTTGATTTATGGAAATTTTCTTGTGTTACACTCGAGAGCCTCTCTTGCACCACCTTCCTCTGATTTGCATTCGAGATTTGTTAGAAGCACTGAAAGTTTATTACTTTTTTTTTTTATTTTTTTATTTTTTTTTATTAAACTATCTATCTATCTTTCTATCTTTCTCTCTCTCTCTCTCTCTCTCTCTCTTTCTTTCTCTTTCTCTCTCTCTCTCTTTCTCTCTCTCTCTCTCTATTTCTGTCAATAAGCTCGCACAACGATCCTGGCGAGTTGACATATTTTTTTTCTATACCATAAAATTAATAAAAATTATCTTGCGATTTACCAATGATACTAATTTTTAATTTCATCTTTTATCATGTATAATTCTCAATAATTTGCCAGGATCGAAGAATGAGCGTAGTGAGAATTTAGAGATCTGTCTTTAAATGGTCTCGAGAAACATATTATGGAAATTCATTGTTTTGTTCCCTCCACCCCCTTCTCGAATGTCAGAGCATGATTGTCATTACGATTATTGTATTGTGATCGTTTTATTTTGGAACGTGTTGTTCTTAAAATACCTTGATTGACGAATAATATCAAAAGTTAAGAAGTTTTGATTTGGAACGGCAATACACGCTACTAGGACGTCACAAAGGAAAATAATAATTGGGACGACGGATGATGATTAATTATCGATCGTATCGATCTTTAAACCCTTGATCCACGGCGGAACGAAGTGGTATTGTTTAGATAAACAATGAATTGCATACTATGTTGGACGAGTACCACACCCATTAATCTTCTCTCGTCTTTTTTCAAGAGCCAAAGAGTTCTTTGCTAATAATTTGACTATTTGTTTTTGTGATTAAGAAATATAATGAAGAAAAACAATAATTATTGTTTTATATAAAAGATAAAAGAACAATTCTCTTCGTCTCTTGTCAAAAAAAAAAAAAAAGAAAAAAGATGAAAGTTGGGAAAAAAAAATAAAATGATATAAAAAAGAGAGACAGGCGCACACACGACCAACCAATCAATCAACACAGCCCACGCAAAGTCACATACTACACAACCACCCACCCACCAACTCACATGTACACACACACAAACATACAAATACACGAGTGCACAAAAAAAAAAAGAAAAGGAAAGTCGGAGTATATAGATAGGGGTTCCTTCATTCCGCCGTGGTTCTAACCCGAGAACGAACGAAACTATCCGCAGGACGGGCAGCTATGCTGCAGCTACGATTACGGCTGTGCTGGCGATCTGGGTTTCGAGCACCAACAGCAACAGCAACATCCTACAATCGGTGTTCCTGAGTCTCTCGTACAGCCTCTATCGGACTCTTCGGGGTGGTCATTGGTCGAGGGTACACAGGAAGCAGTTGTATCAGCGGTCACCACAAGGGCCTATCACCAACAGCACCAACAGCACCAACAACAGCAGCAGCAGCAACAGCACCAGCAACATCAACTCGAGTCGATGTCATCATCATCATCATCCTCCACCATTGCCACTCCTTATTCATCATCATCATCATCATCCTCGTCATCGGGAATTAATTCATCATCAGGCCCAGGTAGAGAGGTTTACCTCGGCAATTCCAACAGACAGCAACAACAACTCGGCCAATTGCGAAACAATCGTCGTTCCCGATTCTTCGAACAACAACAACAACAACAACGAGCAACAACGACGATAAGGAGTGAACAGAGCATCGGTGGAACTACGGTGTCGTCGATGGTGTCGCGAGGTTCAACTTCAAGCTCAACTTCAACGACACCATCTACAAATAACGCTTCTTCGTTTTTGGGAATCGTTGATACAAAGGACAGAAACGATTTCGATAACGACTGTGCTAAAACGACTCGCCACCGAACGGCATCAACCTCATCCTCCTCCTCCTCCTCCTCCTCCTCCTCTTTGTCAACCTCGTCTAGCCCCTTCTCTTCATCATCATCCTCGAACTCGTATTCTAACAGCAGCTCATCCACATCCTCAGACTCTTCTTCCAGCAATACAACGGCAACATCAACATCATCCTCGACTGTCACCCTACTCGTCCCATCCTCCTCGTCAACGATAGACGAGTTCTCAACGTATCCCACGAAAACGTCTAATTCGATCAAAAGTTCTAACGAAGAAGGTGTTGTTGACAGTGTCGCTACTGATTATCCAGGTGCTCGTAAAGTTACTACTACTTCTACTATTACTAGTACTACTACTACTACTACTACTACTACTACCGGTAACGTTGTTGTTTCTTCTTCTCGCGATCGTCGATCATCATCCTCGTTAACTCAACAATCGGTTGGACGCCGTCACAAATACGACAAGGACGAATCATTTTTACGTGCTAATCCAACTTGAAGGAACCCAATTTCGAGGGAAGTTAGAAAAGAGAGAGACATATATATATATATATGATGTTCGTCGAGATGTTCGGTAAGGCATGCCACGTGACGTAAAATAAAAAAAAAAAGGATTTGTTTGAAGAAAATATGGGTAGGATATTAAGATGGAGATCGTATTATCGAAATGTTTGCGTCAAGCCTGACAAATCACGACGATTACCAAAATAAAAAAAATGAGAGAACGAGACAGAAAGTGGGAAAGAAAGAAAAGGAAGAAACCTAAAGGAATGTTTCAACATGATGAAAAAAAAAAAAAAAAAAAAAATACAATTAAATGATCATACTAATAATGAATGAGAAATGTGAATATAATGATGGAAAAAAATGAATAGAAATTTNTAAAAAAAATGAGAGAACGAGACAGAAAGTGGGAAAGAAAGAAAAGGAAGAAACCTAAAGGAATGTTTCAACATGATGAAAAAAAAAAAAAAAAATGGAGACGTGTAATGTCCAATGGTGAACAGGATAGAAATTCGAGGAGTCGCGAGGTTGCCTTAGTGCTTCCCGAATTCGTAGATTCCTAATTTTTGCAGGATCGATTCGAGTTCGCTGGCTTTCTCCCTCCTTTACTTCTATTCCAAATAAATCTACCCTTCATCCCTTGCCCTCCTACACCACACCCCACCTAGACCTTCGAAGAAAAGAACAAAATGTTTTCTTCTTCTTCTTCTTCTTCTTCTTCTTCTTCTGCTTTTCGATGATCGATCGTGTTAACGTGGATCGAGCAGGAGCATTTAGCCGAGCTTTCTATGAGCTTTCGATATATATACATACATACATATATATATATATATATATATCATGATGATAGATTTGTTTATCAATGTTTTCAAATGACTGATAAACGAATCTTAAATACGAATCGTTAAAAATCGTTTATATGTATTTAATCGTCGTGTACGATTTATCGACTAACGAGCTATGTATAAAAATTAACAAAAAACAAAAAAAAAAAGACAAAAAAAGAAAAAAAAGAACAAGAACAACAAGAACACACTTTCGTCTCTTATTTCGGCGTAATTTTCATCGACACTGGTAGCGCACAATATTTGGGCCTTATAAGAGTATAAAAATTCCATTTTTCTTCATTGATTCTACTACGACAACTTTAAAAGGGATTACGAGGAAAAAAATAAATATATACTCAAATACAAATATACATACATGCATACATACGAACTTAACATACACATAACATATACATGCAAAAGTATAATACTTTCTCTTTTGAATCATGTTAGAAAATGAGAGTAAGCGATAATATTATACAGAGTGAATCAATTAAATCTATCCATCCGTTTGTTTGTTAAACAAACATTTTTTTGGAATACATTGAAATTTCATCAATAAGAATCAAACAAAAAGTGCATACATTTGATTGGTTTACTCTGTATAATAATATGTATATATATATTTGCGTATGATAAGGAAACATAATTTCGCGAGAATGATAGAAGAAATGTTCTAGAAATACAAAAACACGTTTAAGAAACAAACCATCCCCTTCCTCCATCCTTTCCAACCCCCGAGCGTGTATTACAATTGCGTATTTATAGAAACATAAATTGCAACAAAAAAAAATATATATATATATATATATATACATATATGTATGTGTGTGAGAGTGTTTATGTATGTATGTATGTATGTATGTATATGTGTATATTCGATGATATAAAAAGAAAATAGGTGGAAGGGATGAAACGTGGATGAAACGTGGATGAAACGAGTATGAAACTTATTCGATGTTGAATATATCCTTTAATTATTATATTTCTGGAGTATTTCAAGATGGACGATAATAAATAGACGGTAATAATATAGAAAATAATATACATACATGCAAAATGAAAGATATCTATCTGGAATACATATATTATATGTATATATATATATATATATACATTTTATGGATGATGATGATGATTATGATTACGATGATGATGATGATGATCGGTAGAATGATTATATCATATCTCAAGACAATATACACATTTATTTACGATACTCTAATTAACCGAGAAGGAAGAGGAGGAGGAGGAGGTAGAAGAAAAACAAAATGAAATGAAAAATAAAATAAAATAAAATGAGAATTAAATCTCGAGTAATCGTTGAAGCTACGTGTGCTTAACGATTACGATTATATTTCATAATAGATATACGCTTTCGAGAATGAAAATAATGATTAAATAATTGATAAGAGGATCGTGGGAGAGTGTGTGAGATGGGGGGAGGGAGAGAGGGGGGAAACGATTAGAAGTGAGGAAAGTAAAAAAAAAAAAAAAACAAACAAAATATTCACCAAACTTCCCAATCAATGAGACGATTAAAAGAAGTAAATAAAAATAAAATGAAAAAAAAAAAGGAAAATATAAACGACATCGACGTTTTCGAATTATATTAATTATTATAATAATAATAATAATTAAATGTGTTATAATAGTCCATTGTCGTTAAACGCGACGACCAACAAATGAATAAAATTGACAACAAATGACGTGGACGAATGAACAATGGCGAATACACAAGGCTTCTTATGCTCGATCCACCCACGCCTATAGAAAAATTTGGTCGATTAATTATACACGGTGAAGGGAAAAGTTTCAACCCCATTATCATTATTGTTCGTTCTTTCATCGGAAAAAAAAAAAAAATAATAATAATAAAAATATAAATAAAATTAATTGTTTATACCTTCGTGATTGCCTAATCGTTAACGTAGATTTAATCGAGGCCTAAACACGCAAACCACGAAGTATTTCAAAATGAAATAATACAAATAATAATATCACTGATACAACGATACTTACACATATATAAAAAAAAAAGAAAAAAAATGAAATGGCCTAGTAGCAAACATAGAAAATAGGAAAAGAGGAAACATTTTATTAACGATAACAACAACAACAACAACAACAACTTTTCTCTTCGCCGATTACAGAAAGGTCATTCTCTTCCCTTTCCTTCTCCTTTGATCAAAATTCACCTCCACCTACTCTCCCCATCTGATCCCCCCCTCCCTATCTCTGCCGTTTAAAAAGAGAGTAAATTAATTAATGAATGAATAATATTAATAATAATATTAATAATAATATTAATAATTAATTATAATAGTAATATAATATTAATAATAATAGTAATAATGATAATGATAATGATAATAATAATAATAATAATATTAATAATAATAATAATTGTCAACGTGTGACACACCGGACGATGATCGATATTCTGTTTTATCTTCGCTCGACCCAAACACGACCACTGAGAAACAACATTCCTTATTGACTATAAACGATAAGTAGGCACTAATAAGAGAAACATAAAAAAAAATATATATATATATATATATATATATAAATTTAACGAAGAATTAAAGAATAATAATAATAATAAAAAAATAATAATAATTAATAATAATAATAATAATGATAAACCTTTAAAAAATAATTAAAAAGATAAAAAAAAAAAGATTAAAAGTAAACAAGGTATATACATATATACATATATATATATATATATATATATGTATATGTATATATATATGTATGATTATGATGCGTACGTAATGCGAAAAAAAATAATAATAATAATAAATAAAATATGAAAAAAAAAGTGAATTACAAGATTATACATGAGGACACACATGGATATATACATATTACATTTACTTTACGTTACGTTACATGACACGAACTTGTATACATATATATATATATACATAGACACACACATACGTATACACATGTGGCGATTTAATATGAATAACGAAATATATAACAAAAATAAATTTAAAAAAAACGAGGCATATTTTATGCTCGTGTGAAGTTTATTCGAATAAATAAATAAATAATTTGTTAATAATTGCAAAAAGTAACGTTTATGAAAAATGTTTTGTTTTAAATCGTGCAATAATATTTGATTGTATTTTATTAAATTGAATTGATTCAAGAAGAAAAAAGATTGTTAATTTTAATTAAACACACATATACATAGACATATATATACACATGCACATTAAAACGTAACTTTTGTAATAAGGAAGAAAATAATTTCACACGAGCAAAAATTGATGAGATCGATTTAGGAAGATTATATCGATCCTTACTCAATCTCGATTGAAAACAAAGAAGAATTGAACGAAATCAAATTGACATATTATGTGATTGTGAAAAAAAAAAAA